TCAGGTTTGAAAAACCATTGAAAACTACTTTTAAACAGGAAATGATGGAATATTTACGTACATATTTACAGCTAGTCTATTCACATGGTATTATCTTTACCTGAAGTAATTTTTCCAGACCTATTTCCAGAAGGTAAAATTCCCCGTAATCATTGTTTTCTAATATCCATAAAATAATATCAAGAAAATATAGATTTTTTCATAAACCAAACGGTGTACGCAAGAATTACAAGAACTTGCCCTATCCCTCAAAACGTGGCCAGATTTTAAATAACGTCAATAATGTTTTAATGAAATTATGAAATGAATGAAAACGATGAATGACTAAGTCAAGTATAAATTAAAAAGTTTAAAATTATATTTAGATTAGACACTTTAGGCAGCTCTAATACAAAAAAAATGTGAGAAACAAATCTTCACAGTATCTCCCATAGGACATTCCATTTAGCTTCTCCGATTTCATAGAAGGAAAGAAAAAAAAACCAGGACGTTACTGCATGCTATTTAAGAGGTAGAAATGCCACAGGGGACTGAGAAGAAGTGAGAAATGGGAAACACTTCAGCAACAGCAGATTACTAAGCAGTGTGTTCAGTATAAAATACCTGCTCAAGGATTGGTAATGAGAAACCATTAATGCTAGTGTGATAAATATAGTCACATGGGCTCAGGAATACTTTGGAAATCTATTGTCACTTAACACAGTCATTGCGTCACTGCAATCTCTGTTACGCAAAGAGAAAGCCATACATCAATCCTACGCAGAAAGGCTGTCGAGTTCTCTGGGAGTTCTCTGAGAATTCTCAAATCAGAGATTCTTTTATTGCGTTTCACAAAATGCCCCAACTTTTCTAGAAGTGGAAAAAAGTTAGAAAAAGTTAACGGATTAACGGTGTTAACAGATTACTTATAATAAAGTTTACATAAATATTATTTATAATATATACAAACACACATTAACTCTTCAATAATATATTGCTTTGCAGACTCTTATCACCACTGGATTCTTTCCAAGATGAACACAAATTTTCTTATTATTTTATATATTTTGTTCAGTAGGTGAATCAACGTAATACCTTATAAAACCAATCAACTAATGAATCAATTTATTAAATACATACAAATATGTCTATAAAAACAAAGCAATTCTTTGATTCACACATACGTATGTAAAATTTTCATGTGTAAAATATAACTGTTTCAGCAACCACAGAAAATGCAACAATTCAATCCACAATAACAGACTCAACATCAACATCATCATCTTCTTTCACAACCACTGGACATAGAGTACCAGAATTTATACCTTTAGAGAATTTATACCTGAATACAGTGATTCAAAATCTCAGGCTTTCCAGGATAGGGCTAAGCATGTTAAGGATAAGGTGAGGGATGTTATTATTGTTCTAGAAAAAGTTAACGGATTAACGGTGTTAACAGATTACTTATAATAAAGTTTACATAAATATTATTTATAATATATACAAACACACATTAACTCTTCAATAATATATTGCTTTGCAGACTCTTATCATCACTGGATTCTTTCCAAGATGAACACAAATTTTCTTATTATTTTATATATTTTGTTCAGTAGGTGAATCAACGTAATACCTTATAAAACCAATCAACTAATGAATCAATTTATTAAATACATACAAATATGTCTATAAAAACAAAGCAATTCTTTGATTCACACATACGTATGTAAAATTTTCATGTGTAAAATATAACTGTTTCAGCAACCACAGAAAATGCAACAATTCAATCCACAATAACAGACTCAACATCAACATCATCATCTTCTTTCACAACCACTGGACATAGAGTACCAGAATTTATACCTTTAGAGAATTTATACCTGAATACAGTGATTCAAAATCTCAGGCTTTCCAGGATAGGGCTAAGCATGTTAAGGATAAGGTGAGTTAAAACCCACTTAACTGATTCACTATTAAGACATTTACATTTACATTTCACATTACGTTCCGTTAAAAAAACGAATCATACCAAATTAAAAGTACTTATTGGAACTGCCTGTTATTTGTTACAGATTGAGACAATCTACAAATTGAACTATCCTTCCTTCATAGGAGTTATTGGCTTAAGTTTCAGGTAAATATAGAATATTGTAATGTTGCATATTGTGTGTGTGTGTGTGTGTGTGTGTGTGTGGTCCACCTCACCCCAATGTGAGGACCAAAGAATATACCTACAAGAATAGTAAAATCTGAATTTTTTAAATATTGTAGATAGTATAAATCATATTAAATTATCTATATTTAAAAAAAATGCAGAATGCTTTCTTTAAGGGTTAGGTTTAAAGGTCATTAGGGATAGGAGAATTTAAAGTTTGTACAGTATAAAATTCAATATGTTGATGGGGAGTCACGCATGAATAAAGTATGAGATTGTTTCTGAAAATTTAATTCCAGAGCTGGTTCGGTCATTACCACAACGGACCTCGTTTTCGACTCTACACAGAATGTCACATCAGATCTCGAAATTGCAGAACTATTACTGAGTGACAATGAAATTCTCAATTCCCTGAACATAACTTCTTTCTCAGTTAATGATACAGGTATGTCTGACAACATATTAAAAGCAAAATGTTTGAAAAAACCTTGTATTGTTCATGTGTGAGACACTGTACCGACTGGAAAATGGTCAGATTAGATATGGTTTTTTACATAAACTTTGGTTTTTCATAAATATTCTGTAAAAACCTACATACAAAATGTACGCACAATTGATTTCTTTTGTTATTGCTTTTGTACGTGCCTTCTAAACTGATAAGCATTTTCTTATGAACCAACAACAGAATACCTATCAACCACAACAACTCCTGCTGCTGCTACAGCAACAACAGAGCCCTCCACAATCACAACAACTGTGACTGAAACATCCACCACTAGTGCAGCAGAAACACCTATAACAACAGAGACTTCCACAATCACAACTCTGCTGAAACATCCATCAGTTGCAATTCTAGTGCAGCAGATAGATCTACAACAACGAGTCTGAAAGGCGTGAGTATATGGGACTGCTGTGGACATCTAATGTTATCCTCTTTGGGGCACAGAAGGCTCTTTTGCAGTTGGTACATTTGATTGGCAGAATAAGAAGTATCTGAACAAGATGAAGAATGTTTTTCATCTCATCTCTATAGGGTTGCTTCAGCAGCAGTGTCTGGTATGTCTGTTACATAATACAAAAATTATGTAACAAACACTCAGATATTTTAACTGATGTCTGCAATTGTTTGATATCTGATCCAGCTTGAAGCAGTCTATAGATCCGAGTATGTTTATTTCCTCAAAGTGATTGTCCTAGTTGTCCTTGTTAGTGCGTCCGCCTCCCATGCCGGAGACCTGGGTTCGAGACCCACTTGGAACGAGAAAGAGGTGCGGCGGTGAGGACCTGGGGGAGAGGGGTTCCATTGGTGCCGTGACCCGGATGGGAGTGAGGTTTAGAGGGGTGAGTGTAACGGAGGCTAGCGAGTAGGTGCTGTGCAGGTAAACCTCACTCCCCTGTTCTCAAGAGATGTGCTAGATGCTGCAGTCTTTAGCCTCCTTGTTAGTGCGTCTGCCTCCCATGCCGGAGATCTGGGTTCGAGACCCACTCGGTGTGAGAACGAGGTGTGGCAGTGAGGACCCGGGAGAGAGGGGTTACCCTAGGATTCAGGTAAATACAGTACATTGCATTTCTGTTTATTTATATATGTGTGTGTGTATGCGCGAGTGTAGTCCAGGTATTCCTTATGCTGTGGGTCCAAATGTCTCCACAAGGATAGTAAAACCTGATGTTGCATAGACAAAATTTCAACCCCCAATGAGAAAAACAGTTTATAAATCATACAACATTTTCTGTAAGGATTAGATTTAGGGTTAGAATTTAGTTTGTACAGTATGAAAATGAAAACACAAAAACCCAACGTGTGTGTGAGAGAGAGAGAGAGCGAGAGAGATAGAGAGAAAGAGAGAGAGAGAGAGAGAGAGAGAGAGAGAGAGCATTCAATAAACTGGATTTTTAAAGGTAACATATTAATTTCAACATTTACTTCAGACAAGGGTCAAACATCACATCAACACAACTAGTCTTCAGCTTCAACCAAACTATCCCATCCGTTCAAGAGATTTCAACCTTCCTCTTGAGGGCAGTGGAAACAGGAGAAGTCAATCCATTGAACATGATTCCTCAATCAATTTTAGTCAATGGTTCAGGTAAGCTCTAATACTCAGTAGATTTATAATCTTCTTTACATGTAACTTTTCTATTAATATAATTGTCTATACACATTATGAATCAGAGAAACAAGTATGCAGTCATCTTCAGGGGCTGTTCACATGGAATGGTAACTTTTTTATTTGATGGCAACATGGCGGAGGAGGCACTGTTATTTCTGGCACTTCATCATGTCTCAAATAGGCATCTTGAGACCATCACATTCCGTGCTGCACTTCCATTCCTGCGCACTGCGTCTCACATTTTTAGACGCAAGACGTGTTCTGTGTGAATGGACCCGTAGAATGTAGTCTTTGAACTTCCATTTTTGCAGCAGCTCTGCATATTTCTATGGCATTGCTGTCAAAGTATAATTAGCTGATGAAGTGGATTTACTTATTGTAGTGTTAACGAAAGTTATCACAAGCATTCTGATGTTTGAAGTGAACGTCAACAAATGTCAGTAGACCGGGACAATTTTAAAATAAGCAGTTCTTTCATAAATCCATAAGATCTTACCTTCATGCTGTGGAAATACAGACCAGAAGACAATGAGCACAGTGCTGAAAAGGGGCGGGGCTACATAAGGTCTACACAGGGATATCCAAATAATTTGCTTGAGCTTTTATTACAGCTTTAGCTACAACTGTCGCTCCTGCAGCAGCCACAGCAACTACAGTAAGTACAATAACTAAAGCAACCATATCAATCACAGCAACTACAGCAAGTAAAATAACTAAAGCAACTACAGCAAGTAAAATAACTAAAGCAACCATATCAACCACAGCAACTACAGCAAGTAAAATAACTAAAGCAACGACATCAACCACAGCAACTACAGCTTCAGGTGGATTAAAGATTGAATCCAGTCTGCTCCAAGCAACATATGCTTCATTATTATTACTAAAATATTAAGGCTTTTCCTATAGATCCCTTAAACATATATATCAAGCAAACATGAGAGTTCAACAAGACATGCTGTAACAAACTGAACAAACAGCAAATGCATTTTTCTTATTACATGGTATATAGGATTTGCCATTGCTGTACACACTCAAATAATGGTATGGGGTAATATAAATATAAGCTAGTATATAAATCTATTGCATTGTTTTTCAGTTAGCAGTAGATATTTAAGAAACATTTATACATTTGTTGTATTTTAAGGCTTTCCTTTTGGGAGGGTGCAGTGGATATTTTTCTTCATTTCCTAATACTGCATGTTTTCCAAATGAAACATGGTATCATTTGTTTGTTGGGCTGTTTTATGGGTAAATTCTGGCTATACTTCTTTTTTGTCTTGTATGTTATAACATTGCAATATGTCGTTTTATTTTAATCAAATAAAAATATTATCAAAAGTTATTAAATTAAAAAATGTATATGGTTCAAAATATTTTGCTTTCATGAAAATACTCTTCAGTAATCAATGTTCAAATGCAATTATAGATTCAGTTTACTCAACCTTTGATCAACATTTCTTTACCATAAGTAGGCAATTTGTAGGCCTTGAGGATGTGTAATTTTTACCTAGGGAATGTTGAGGTACGAGTATATCCAGATGCCATTGTCTACACACTACACAAAACAAGATAATCAGTGGCCCCTAATATAGAACATTATAAAACTTGCTGTAAATAATACAGGCTCTAAATAGAAGTGACAAACAAATAATAATATACAAATACTGTGGCATGTATAACTTCAGCAAACAAGAACATCAATTTTACACAACAATACAATAATTGAATAACTAAAAAACACACACACAACAACAATGTATCTTTACTAAATTGTATTTATACCACATGCAGCATATTTGAAGTTACCTGACATTTTTTACAGTGTTATGTTTTCTCAACTAATGCATACAGAATTTATGCATGCTTTGCAGCCTGTGTTAAAATCCATACAGTACAGCTATCTAGAGCACTTACAACAGCTCCTCTTATTTTTATAGTCATATAACCAAACTAGTTACTCTTCAACTTCAACCGTTACCGTACTGCCAAGGTGACAGTTTTTAAGTTTTCAGATCTGCATTCTTCTACACATTTATCAGCTTTGAGTCTTGAGGCAATTGTGACCCTAATATTCTACAAATAAATAATTGAATGAGGTCTTACCGACACGGAGTGTGACCAACTCCAACAAATCCAACCGTTTTAAGACATCTATTCACCATCATCCCCATGATTCTAAATGACAACATACTGTATGTATAACAGACTTATTTAACAAACCAGTATCACACCCATATTACATCAAAACCAACCCAATATCTCACAAAAGAGAAATATTCAAAAGCCTCCCTCCCATATTGTTCGTCCTGGGTGTTACTCAGTAAAGCAGAACAACACCCCACAACAACACTGGCTCACCTGTACTGCTTTTAAAATCTATATTTATTTGAAGCCTGGAAGAAAAGTTATTCAACACTATGTGTTAGCATTATAGAGAATTACCTGCATTACACTACATTATGCATCATCACTTCGCATATTTATGTTTAGCAGATCCTCATTTTCAGTGCTTTTTGTTCAAAATGTTGCCTGCTAAATTATTTAACTGCGTGGGAGTTCTTTTACCTAATTTCTCCTTTCTCTGTAGCTAACTGGACTGGATAGCTAATAACCAGCTATGGTATATGTATTCGGTAAATAACTAACTCCAAAATCAAAGAATTGAGAACCCCCTCAAACGCATTCTAAATTAGCCCCTTAAGTAAAGACGAAAATGTGAAATAAAAACTAGAATCTCACCTTCGGGCCTAAAGCTCCTAATGTTCATTGCTGTGTTTAGTCTAGAGTAGAATTAGCTGTTGTATCATACTGTATTTGGTATGTGAACGATGCAAAAAATATTCATTCACACCCATTTTATTTTAATACCAATATAGCCTATATCTCTTCAATGAGTATTAGGGAGGTTCTTGAATTGTTTTAACTGGGATACAATGGGGGCAACATACCAAAAACACACCCTGACTTTTGCTTGTACTCTGAACCCAGCAGAAAACACCTTATAGCAGTGATTCTGACACAGATTTTAGATTAGCCATCAGGAGGTGATCTAGCACAGTACCATAATTGTTTAGTGTGCAACGTAAACAAAAATTTGATTTAAAGCAAAATCTGACATGTGTTAACATCAATATGATATTAAACAATGTTATAATAAAAATATTAGACAATTAAAGACAATAACTCACCACACAAGAATGTGACACATGGGCTGTAACCTCAAAAATCAAACTATGGGAAGCATTTTGTCTTCTTTTTTTTTTATAAAAAAAAAGTTGTAAGTTTATGGTGCTATTATATGATTTTATGGTTAATTGCTCTTTTTTAAATTTAGCATTGTTTTACTTTACATAGGAGGTATTGTAGAGGGTTGGGAACAACCCCGGAACAATGTATAGGACCTGACTTGAAAAAATGAGCTGTGACATATTAAATAAAAATGGGTCCTGCACATACCATTTCTCACAGTTTTACCATCCCTGTTGGAATGATCTGATTTAATTATAAGTTATCAGGTAATTGATTGGTTATGTTGAGAAAAGTGCCAAAAAGCAGTTCCACCCCATATTTTAAAAAACTGAAATAAATAAACAGATTGTTAATTTATTTAATATCAGCTGTAAATCCTTTGTATAACCTGACTGTTTTCTCAAACCATTGATCTCACTGATTACCCATGATTCTCAGCACATTTAATAATAATAATAATAATAATAATTTATGCATTTATCCAAAGCGACTTACAGTGCATTTAGGCTACACATTTTTTACCAGTATGTGTGTTCCCTGGGACTCTAACCCACGACCTTTTGCGCTGCTAACGCAATGCTCTACCACTGAGCCACAGGAAAATTTAACCAGTGACAGGTACAAGGGAAGAAAAGCTGCTGTATTGTTCACTGGATGTGTGTAATATTTGGACTTCACATGCATTCTGAAAGCAAACTGTTCTTCAAACTATTTCTCACATTAAACCAATAGACACTTATTAGCTGTCATAGTATTAGGCTGGTATTGAAGTGTTAAATTACTTAACGGGTCTAATACATTCATGAGGAAGCTCTGTTCTTAAAAAAAACTACATATTAAAACTACATATTAGCTCCTTCTTTTGCCATCAGATAGGCTAATTGTTGTTTACAGTATTTTATATAATCTGTACTAACCTGTTTAGAGACTCTGAATTGTTTCAACTTTGCTTAAAAGCACACTGCGGTAGCCTTCCCATTTATTGCTGTGTCAACTATTTCTCACATTAAACCAATAGACACTTATTAGCTGTCATAGTATTAGGCTGGTATTGAAGTGTTAAATTACTTAACGGGTCTAATACATTCATGAGGAAGCTCTGTTCTTAAAAAAAACTACATATTAAAACTACATATTAGCTCCTTCTTTTGCCATCAGATAGGCTAATTGTTGTTTACAGTATTTTATATAATCTGTACTAACCTGTTTAGAGACTCTGAATTGTTTCAACTTTGCTTAAAAGCACACTGCGGTAGCCTTCCTTGATTTTAAGCTTAATTGTGTAACACTGATCCTTATAAATGACTCCGTTATAGATCAGTGGTTTGTGATTGCTACCCAGCATCAACAAACGGAACTGCAACAACGGATTGGTTTTGAATAAGACTGATGATACATGGGGCAACTTTTTGAACAATGTTGCCGGACCACCTTGGGCAATCTTGCCATCAACGGGCAACCAGGTGAGACACAGTGCCCACGACTGAAATAAAGTATTCAGATAAAAATTTGTTAACCATCCTCAATGGGAAAGTGCCCAAGCAACATTGCTCAAAAAAAGTTGCTCTGTGTATCATCAGCTCTCTCCTGTCTGCTATTGGTCGGCCATATAAATAGTTCAGCCCCAAGCTCACACCATTTATTGAGTTTGTATAACATATATAGTGTTCTTACCTTTATAGTCTGATTAGTCCATTAGCTAAACCAAAACCAAAATGTAATAGTACAATAGTGTAAAATATGGATGCACAATGCTAATGGTCTCATGGTTAGAGATTTGGACTTGTAACCCAATGGTTGTGGGTTTGAGGCTCTGGTCCAGCAGGAATTGTTGATGGGGGGAGTGAATAACCAGTGCTTTCTTTCCCCCTCAATACCACGACTGAGGTGAGACCCTTGAGCAAGGCACCGAAGCCCCATCTGCTCCCTGGGTGCTGGAGCAACATGGCTGCCCACTGCTCCGGGTATGGGTCACCATACTTGGCCATGTCAATTCATTTTTTTTTAAATGCCACGACTGCCCCTACATAAAGGCTGTAGCAGTGCGCATCCATATTTTATATGTTGCTGACTCTACAATATTTTGTACAGGCAATATTTTACCCCCGGAACGCGATTTTTACCGGGGAACCCCCCTCGGAATGCCATTAGGCTAATTTTGGGCTAGTTTTGAGTAGCAATTGGGGAGGGTTTTTTTTTTTCAAAAAACCTGGCAACCGCTACATCACCAAGCTTTTTTATGTTTATTGTCCCCCCATCTGTTAGACAAAATGTACATCCCTGTGTCATACGCCGATCGGTCTGCGCAGCACCGATGCATCTAAAAAAAAGCCTAATATCATGCGTCACATCTTCACTATAGCCTGCATCATTCCTGTTCAAAACCTGTTGCACAAAAACTTCCGTGTCCCATGCCGTGACTGATAATATTGCAATAGGCTAAAAAATTGCCAATTTTCATGTCTTAAAAAGTATGTGACAATATAATTACTTATATATAACATCATGTATGTAGTTTTATATTCAGTAATACATTTAACAAAGTTTTACTACATGTATAGCCTAGGCTACATGTAATAGGTACTGTGTGTATGTATAAATATATGTTAACATATATGTACAATATATATGAGAACGTGTATG